CTCGCCCCTCGCTGCTCTCCCCACCCCCACCCCTGGCTCCTCGCTGCTCTCTTTCCCCCCCTCCGTGGCGGCGGCGGGAGGCCAGCTGCAGAGCGTTCCCTGCGCATGCGCAGGGGACGCTCTGTCAGTTTCGGGGGGGAATTAAACATCCCCCCGATATTTTTTACAGGGTTTCTGATTTTTGTGCACACCTGGGGACTGCCCCACATGTGCACAAAACTCTCCCTCCCCTCCAGGTCCCCCCGATGTGCAGAAATAAGTTTCCGCACACCAGGGGGCGACTTCGGAATTAGATATATAGATAGAACCAACACTGTGGTAGCAGCTGCTGCTGATACATTTTAATCTTGATGGCAGTGAATCAGATCTCCAACGGCCAAGCAGAAGCCCTGCTGGGTAGGAGCCCCACTTGGCATTGCCGGCTTTTCAAAAAGCACTTGGTGAGCACCAGGAAAGGGGACAGCAGGCTTCACGGCGCCCGTGGGCACCATGTTGGGGACCCTTGCTCTAGCCAGGTGATTCTTGGTTCTTTGTGGGTGGGAACAAACAACAGACGACAGCAGTGCTACCGGGAAGTCGTTCAGCATCAACCGTGCCCCACAAGCTCATGAACGGGGCGGCAGGTTGTACGTGAGAAAGCTGACAACTCAGGCCTTAGAGAAGAGCTGGAGAGGCTCCGCTCCCACCACCAATTTCACCCCCTAGACCCAGGGGCCAGAGCATTAACGGCAGGCATGCATTTGGAAGACCACCCATTCCACCCAAGATGAAGCAACTTTCTAAAGAGCCTCAGGAGCAGCTGGGGCTTGGCTGTTTCTACCTTGCAAGGCCTTGCTCATCATAGAATCATAGAGGCCATACCGACCATCCAGTCCAACCCCCTGCCCAGTGCAGGACCAGCCTAAAGCATCTCTGAACAAATATCCGTCCAGCCTCTTCTTGAAAGCTGTCAAGTGAAGGGGGGCTCACCACCTCCCTAGGCAGCTGATTCCGCCTCTGAACCACTCTGATCGTGAAAAAGTGTTTCCTAATATCCAGCCGATGCCTTTCTGCATGTCATTTGAACCCGTTGCTTCGTGTCCTATCCTCTGCTGCCAACTGGAACAACTCCTTGCCTGCCTCCCAATGACAGCCTTTCCAATATTTAAAGAGAGCCCAAAACCGAGCCCTGCGGCACCCCGCTGGACACCTCCCTCCAATCTGATGTAACGCCCACCACTCTTTGGGTGCAGTTCTCTAACCAGTTCCCTATCCACCAAACTGTCCTATAGTCCAGCCCACAATCTTCCAGTTTTCCCATCAGAACGTCATGGGGAACCTTATCAAAAGCTTTACTGAAATCCAGGTAAATCACTCAACAGGGAAAGGGGAAAGTGGCCATTTTGCAAAGCACTGGAGACAAAGATCTCTGCATGCCGAGCTAGATGCAAAAGCTTGGTCATAAGAACATAAGAGATGCCAATGTTGGATCAGGCCAAAGGCCCATCCAGTCCAACACTCTGTATCACACAGTGGCCAGAAATACCAGTGCCATCAGGAGGTCCACCGGTGGGGCCAGGACATTAGAAGCCCTCCCACTGTTCCCCCCCCCCCAAACACCAAGAAGACAGAGCATCACTTGCCCCAGAGTCCCTATCTATACCTTGTGGCTAATAGCCACTGATGGACCTCTGCTCCATATGCTTATCTAATTCCCTTTTGAAGCCGTCCATGCTTGTAGCCGCCACCACTTCCTGTGGCAGTGAATTCCATGTGTTTGGGTGAAGAAGTACTTCCTCTTATCCGTTCTAACCCGACCGCTCAGCAATTTCATGGAGTGCCCACGAGTTCTTGTATTGTGAGAAAGGGAGAAAAGTACCTCTTTCTCTACCTGCTCTTTCCCATGCATAATCTTATAAACCTCGATCATGTCACCGCTCAGTCGTCGTTTCTCCAAGCTAAAGAGCCCTAAGCGCCTTAACCTTTCCTCATAGTCTAGAGCTCTGAACTGCTTACAGATCTCCTGCAGTTTTAGAAAAAGTGTTAACAGAACTGCAAGGTGTTGTGGGGTGCGTGGATGTAGTCTGAACTGGGGTTGCGGCACACGGGTGGAAGTTAACCTTTTGCTCCCAGTCAACACTACTTCTCCCATCCCAAGCTATTGACCCTGTGATGGGGGAACATGCAGCTCCCTATACGGCATCTCTGTGACCCCAACTGGAGCTCTCCCACCCTCGCCACGGATGCTTCTAAGCCTCAACAATCGATGTGACCTCGGTTCACAGCTCTCAGGGCGAACCCATCTGCGCTATTAAGACGGAAAACAACATCCTCGCAGAACACTTCAAACTACTCTTCACTGTATTTTTAATAGCCGCAGGGGTACTTACGTCGTCACCAGAGAAATACTGATCTATTATTTCGAACGCTAGTTTATAGATGTCCTCGTTCTCGTGTTGCTGCAGTGCTTCAATTTTCTCTAACCCTGGTCAAGAGGAAAACACAAAGGCAGAGAGAACATTAGTCGGCTCTTAAAATCACTCAATGCCTGAAGGCACTTGCCTCCGCTGTATGAGTGTTTCCAGTCCTACGAAGGACGCTAGGAAAAGTGTGGCTTATATTCCGACTATGTCCGTGAGATGGAAAGGCCCCAGGTACACCTCGCAGAGTCCTGTACAACGTTGTCAAGAAGGTGATCTGGTCGTTGTTCCCCTTGACCTCACAGCGGGTTTGAGACCTTTAGACGTTCTGAACCAGGGGTGTCAAACATAAGGCCCGGGGGGCCAGAACCGGCCCGTCCAGGGCTCTTAGCTGGCCCTCAAGCAACTCGTATGTATGGAAATGTCAGGTACTCCCCCCATTTATGGTATCCCTTGGAAAAAACCCAGTCTCGCATTATGATGAAATGCTTTTGTTGGGGGGGCTGCCCAGTAATTCAATTGCTTCCACTGCTAGGAATCAATTGCTTTCGTTTGTATTTCGAGTTAAAAAATATCATCGTTAACTGGGTTTTGCTGGTGTCTTTTATAAAATTTATATCTCCGGTACCTGGCATTACATTTTATGGCACACGTGGCCCAGCCCGACAAAGTGACATTTATGGCAGACCTGGGCCCTCACAGCAAATGAGTCTGACACTTCTGTTCTGAACTGCTTGGGCCAGGATGGCTTCAGGGGGCAGTGGTTTGTGCTGGTTCTGAATGCAAAGGGGTGTGTGTGTCGAACTGAAGCTTAATCCCCAAAGTAAAATTAAATACGGGTCGGCAGGGGTCATTTTGTAGAAAAAGAGGTGCAGGAGCTCATTAGCATAACTCATTAGGATAACTTATTTGCATATGCCACACCCCCTGACATCACCAGAAGTGTGTCAGAAGGCAACACCCACTGCAACTTACCTGGCTGCTTCTTGCTCCTCATGGCCCGGGGCTGCTGGGAGCAGGGGGCGGGGCTTGTTGCATGTGCCCGCCCCCTGGGCTCTTTACTGCCGGAGCTCTGCTCCTGTGCGCTCCCGCAGGAAATTACCCCTGCGGGTCGGGAACTGAAGCTGGTACAAGACTGGGTGCTCGGTCTGCTCTGGAGGAGTTGTTCTCCCCCTGAAATAGGTCTGGCACATGGTCTGGGGATGCTCTCGGACTTTTCTGTTTCTGGACAAATGGGGGCGGGGGCGAGAGGGCCGCAGGGACTCAGGTCCACAGGATGCCGCCTGATTCTGAGTCAGGCCATTGGCTCATTGAGGCCAATATTGTCTAACTCGGACTGGCGGCAGCTCCCCAGGACCGTCGGTCTTCTACATCACACATCCAGTGGTCCTTAGGGAGATGCAAGGGATTCAACCTGGGACCTCCTGCATGCCAAGCAGATGCCGTGCCACTGAGCCACAGCCCCTCCCAGCTGTGACCATAACTGGGAAGAGGTGACAAGCCACAAATACTTCAGGAACATCCAGGCTGGGATTTGTTCTACGCAGCTCCATGTGCCTTTGGTAACAGTTCAGAGATGTCAGTGACTACAAAATGAACGAGCCGGAGCACTACAAAGGTTTGCACCACCGCAGAAACCGGGTGGGCCAAGTACTCACAGTGCAAGCAGCAGCCAAGGAGGCAAGACCCCGGCATGCAACTCCCCTGTCCCACCTTGAACAAGGTGAACCCACAGAGGAAGATCTCGCCTGCTCCGCAACTTAAAATCATGACAGAGAAGAGGCACGGTCAACTCCACACTGTATTCTGAACAACAACCCTAAGCACGGAGCCATCCATCTTTGAACGAGCAGTCGCTAACTGCAGCGTTCTCACGAGCACACAACATGCATTTCCAAACAAGACTCTACCACAATCAATGTAATATGTGGCCAATTAAAACTCACTGGGGTAAACTTAAAAATTCATAATGTGAATCACCTCCCCTAAGGACTCTCCAAGGCAGGCAGGTTATGCAGCAAGTTATTTGGCCAAAGTATTAGGGACTGTAGTCTACACTATTGTGTAGAGTTTGCTGTAAACTGGACCCTCCTATGTTAATTTTGCATCATCAAATGTGTCATGTTAACACTTAACGCAGTGCTTCAGTTCTGTTTCTTCGGATTTCTGGTTGGTACTACAATCCAAATCCTGTTTCCATTGTTTATTTTTTTATTTTTCTAATTTATATTCCACCCTCTCTGTGAACAGGCTCAGGGTGGATCACACTTCTAATTTATATTCCACCCTCCCCGCGAACAGGCTCAGGGTGGATCACACAATAATTGGCCATTCGGCAACACAAAACATAATAATTAAAAACATTAAAAAGGCATTTAAAACCAGTTTGCACCAATACCAGTGTCGATGTACTCTGGGTTAATTTAATCTGGGCTGCATGGAGATGGTGTCTTCAGCAGAGGAGAACGAGCTGTTTTTGCTTGACACCCGCAGCCTCAACCAAAGGCTTGGCTGAACAGCTCCATTTTACAAGCTCTGCGGAGCAAAAAAAAAAAGTCCCGCGGTGCCCTGATCTCACGTGGCAGCACGTTCCACCAGGCTTACTGACTGTCACCGTCCTGTTGATTGTATTGACTCACTCTGTGTAATCCGCCTTGAGTCCCAGTGAGAAAGACGGACTACAAAGAATGTAAATAAACAAGTCCGGCCTATTGCCAACAGGTTGGAAGCAGCCCTCTGGATCCTGGATGCGGAGCAGCAAAGCAGAGAATACTGCGGGCAGCCCCTCGCCCCGCTATTGTTAAAGGGCCTATCGTGTGCGGACTTGCAGGGGCTCCTGCAAAAAAATCACGGGGCAACAAGATGCAAACAAAAGGTAGCCCGAGGTCACACAGGCCAAGCTGCGCTGGAAACCCAGGGAATCAGCAGGAGATGACTCCTGCTACCACGAATAAGGGATGCAACTGGATTTCACAAGGTCGCTGCCTCTTTTGTCTCAACACCAACAGCATCATTTTGTCCTCCTAGGAATCTCTGCCCCTAGAACCAAATGTTATTGTATCTTGTAATCCGCCTACTGAATGACTGAAAAGTGTGGGGAGGGTTTAATGGTACTCATTTTATTTATTTATTTATTTATCATTGGCATTTATATCCCACCCACCCCATGGGCGGGCTCAGGGCGGGCAACATCATTGAAATAAACACAATTTCAGTTTAAAACATTAAACATTAAAACACAATAAAACATTATAACGCTTAAAAACAATGGGTACAGCTTGGAAGAGCATAAGCTGGCTATAAATTCTGGCCTGATGGTGCAGTGGGTTAATGGCCAGTTGTTGGTGGTCAGTGACAGATGGGCGACAGCAACCTCAGGGAGGCCATAGATGGGCGCCCGCTGCCTCAACCAAAGGCCTGGTGGAACAGCTCCGTCATGCAGGCCCTGCAGAATTAAAGATCATTCCACAGGCCCCTGGTATCAATAGGGAGCATGTTCCACCAGGCTGGGGCCAGGACAGAGAAAGCCCTGGCCCTGGCTGAGGCAAGACAAGGGACCACCAGGAGGCATTGATCTTTTGAGCGTAGTGCTCTTCGAGGCATATATGGAAAGAGGTGGTCCCTTAGATGTGTTGGTCCCAGGCCGTATAAGGCTTTGAAGGTCAAAACCAGCACCTTGAAGTGAATCCGGCACTCAACTGGCAACCAATGCAGTTGGCAGACCATGTGCCTAACGTGAGCCCGCACAGGCGTTGACGTTAGTAGGCGCACCACCGCATTCTGCACCAGTTGTAATTTCCGGATCCGCTTCAATGGTAATTTGCCTTTGGTCCCAGTAAGAAAGGAAGGCTATAAATGGAAATATAAAGAAACCAGAACATCCCTATTTTTAAAAATATTTTAAATATTTTATTGCTTTTATACTATAACTACAAATTACACACTACAAATTCAGAGTAGCAAGGTTCAATAATAACCTATCTTTCGCTTTAGATACTTCCCTATATATTTATGTTACAATATATCGTTTACCTTTCAAATATAAAGTATTCAAATAGAAAGAACAAATATTAATTGGTTCTAACAACACATATGAGCAATAATATATATGTTCTATAAAGCTTAACGTAGAAAAAAATCTTAGATCTTCATTTAGGTGTCTTCTTCTCTTTGCGCTTTTTCTTCTTTTGCCAGGGGATTTTAATCTTGTATGATCTGGGGGCAGCCGCTCCCAGTTCAGAGTCAGAGTCGAAGATTTCGCCCAAAGACACAGATGTAGAAGGGGAACTGTCGCTAGCTATCTCCTGTTGTTCTCTTTTTTCTTCTGTGGCCTTCTCTTCCCCTGCTTTCTCCTTCATTGTTGAGCTCTGATGCTGCTTCAAGAATGAATCCGCTTTAGTGAGAGAGTAAATTTTTTCCTTTTTACCGTTATAGTTGAAAATAAGTCCTTCCAGTAAAATCCATCAATACTGAATGTTGTTTCCTTGGAGAAATGTTGTAATATTTCTGTATTGCTTCCTCTTCTTCCATATTTCAAATGGAACATCTTTCAGCACTTTTATGTCTTCCTCTAGGATTCTTAATATTGTCCTGGTTGTTGCTTTAAGTATTAGGTCTCTTGTTGATCTTCTTGCAAATTTAACAAATATTTCCCCTGGAAGATTATTTTTCTTCACAAACTCTGAATATGTTCTGTAAATCATATCTGTATCTGCTTGTTATAGTTCAGGTTTGCTATTGATCAGGGGGGCCAGTGCTTCACTTAGGATCTCTCTTAGATTCTCGTCTTGTTTTTCTGGGACCCCTTGAAATCTCAGAACTTAGAGAGATCTTTCCATCTGTAGTTGTAATAATTGTTGCTTTTCAGAAGCTCTTTCTTTATCTGCTACATCCATTCTTTGGTCCAATTCTCTGGACTTACATTCAACCTTTTTAAGCTTTTGGACAGTCTTCTTTGATCTTACTTTAGTCTCTTTCAGTTCTTGTTGCAAATCATCAAATTTCTTGTTGAGGTTCATCAGCTGGTCCAGCAGGGGGCGCAAGGCTTCAGAAATCATACCAGCAATATCGGAAGTAGTTCCTGATCTTGTGACCAGTGATGTTGTGCTGGCAGTTCCTGTTGTCGCTTTGACTCTGGTCGCCATTTCCCCCCCTCGCTGCATCATTGTTTACATTAAGGTAAAAGTTTTTAAAAGTTCTAAGATTCTTCTCTGTGATGTATAGTAAAGCCCACTGCGCTCAGAGTCAATTGGATGGGTTTCTAACAGTAGAGTTTCGGCTTAGCTTCTCATTCCAATACTTTTAACGCTGATTTCTAGGGTAGGGTTCCTCCTCCCCCTCCGAGAGGTTCCCCCCTCCGAGAGGTTCCCCCCTCCCTTTCTGACTGTGGAGCTTTGCCGTCTCTCTGCTGGTTCCCACACCCGCTTTTCGTTTGTCTTTCTTTTCGAAACTTCTTCACTTACATTTTGCCGCTGAGTATTCTCATAATAGGGAAAGTCACTTTGATTTAGGTCCTTGCATGCTCTGGTCCGGTAACATTTCGTCGCCATTGCTGGCTTCAGGGAGGCGGGGCCTTATGGAGCTAAGAGAAGCCTCAAACCTCCAGCCATGGTTTCGGGTGCGGCTCCTCCAGCGCTCCAGGCTAGAAGCCCCTACAAGGGCTTCAGGAGGCGATTGAATGAATCCAATCTCCCTCTCTGCCGCCCCGATCCAAACGCACCCATCGGAGCTTGATGGTGTGCGTCCGTCTGTGAGTTGCCGAAACAGAAACTCCTGAACATCCCTATTTTGATTGGCCTCTTCAATTTGTGCAAATTGAATATGGGAATCTTTCTTTTCTCATGACTTTCAACCTCGTGCTGAATTTTCCCAGTAAAAATATATGCACCACCTGCACATTAACCATATGTCTGTAGCCCTGACCTGGATAGCCCAGGCAAGCCCGATCTCATCAGATCTCAGAAGCTAAGCAGGGCCGACTCTGGCGAGTATTTGGATGGGAGACCTCCTTGGAATTCCAGCAGTGGGGAGGTCTGGGGCAGGTTTTATTCAGCCACCTCTCTGAATATCCTCCAGGCCCCCAGTAAGGGTCAGTCACCAGAGGTCACCATGACTTCCAGGTGCACACACGCACGCGAAAAATACAAAAAAACTCCATACATGTTTAAACAAGGTACACTGTATGTATAAATTGTGATTAAAATGTGTAAAATAAAAGTGAACGGATGGGCGCGCCAGAACCATTCCCAGCGAACAGCATCCAGAAATCTTACCTCCGCATTCCTCAATAATTTCTGCTATTGTGCTTGCCTCGTCGCCAGCCATTATTAGGATGTTTTTCAGCCCGTCCAAAACCACTTGCACCACTTGAGAGTCTTTGACTGATAGCAAGTTACAGAAAGGCGGGATTACGCTCTGCTGGACAAGGTATTCGACCTAAACAGCAGTTAAAAGCATTTAGAATGACAGAAGCGTAATCAAAAGGCTCTTAAAATGAACTAACTTAAAAGTCACAGTGAGGGACACACCTACCTGATCTTTCCTTCCACTTATTGTTAAGTTGCTAATTGCCCAGGCAGCTTCCTTTTGTGTGCCAAAGTCTCCCTGGAGGATATAACAGACGATTTATTAGCAAGATAAGGTTTGCAGGCTTCCACAGACCTTGGGCTGACTTAACAAAGAACGAGGGAAGTCTGGAAATCCAACTGACCTTAGCCAGTTGATGAATGATCATCGGTATAAGTCCAGCATCTATTACAGCTTGAACTTGCTGCTGATTACCTGCCGTGATATTGGAAAGGAACCAAACCGCTTCCTGTAACCAAAAACAGAACCTGTACTTAGTTTCAGGCTACAGCCAGGTAGAAACATGGAGGGTTAATAAAGTGAGACTCCGGAAACAGATCTCTTTGCTCAAGGATGCGATCCTTATCTGGGGCCAACGGGCATCCTACACGAGGAAACGAAGCCTGAAGTGGGTCCGATACCCAAGGCCGTGTCAAGTTCCAGGAGCAGGAATCCGGATGCTCGCCTCCACACATGGCAAAAAGAGCGCAGAAGCAGTGTGGGTGAAAAACCCAGTCCCATAATCAGTGTTCCCTCCAAGCTGCGTTAGTGTGAGCTAGTTCACAGTTTTTTTAGCCTCCGGCTCACCCATTTTTGTCTTGGCTCAGGAAAGATGGCTCCAGAGCAAACTAACTTGTCTGGTGTAGTGGTTAAGTGCGCGGACTCTAATCTGGGAGAACCGGGTTTGATTCCCCACTCCTCCACTTGCACCTGGCTGGATGACCTTGGGCAAGCCGTAGTTCTGACAAGAGCTGTCCTTGAAAAAGAGCAGTTTCTGTCAAGAGCTCTCTCAGCCCCACCTACCTCACAGGGTATCTGCTGTGGGGAGGGAAAGGGAAAGGAGTTTGTAAGCCTCTCTGAGACACCTTTGGGTAGTGAAGGGCGAGGCATAAATCCAATCTGTTCTTCTTCGTGAAACAGATCAGTTTCTGTCAAGAGCTCTCTCAGCCCCCACCTGCCTCACAGGTTGTCTGTTGTGGGGAGGGGAAGGGAAAGGAGTTTGTAAGCCGCTCTGAGACTCCTTTGGGTAGTGAAGGGTGGGGTATAAATCCAATCTCTTCTTCTTCGTGAAAAAGAGCAGTTTCTGTCAGAGCTCTCTCAGCCCCACCTACCTCACAGGGTGTCTGTTGTGGGGAGGGGAAGGGAAAGGAGTTTGTAACCCACTCTGAGACACCTTTGGGTAGTGAAGGGCGGGGCATAAATCCAATCTCTTCTCTTCTTCTAATTTATGCAGTAGCTAAATCACTCGCTCAGAACTTTAATGCAAGCAGCTCACAAAGTACAATTTTTGCTCACAAGACCCCACAGCTTAGAGGGAGCATTGGTCCCATTCCTACTTTGTGGTTGGGGGGGGGGCAGTTAATGTGTCCAACTTGGGAGTAGTATTCTTAGCAGGTAAAAAGCAAGAAAGAAGCATCTCAGCAACACCAGGCTGAATGATGAGCTGATTTTTATCCTGACTTTTAGAGGCTTAACAGGTTCTTCAAAGCAATTGACAAAAAGTAAGAGAAAGTCACCTTCAGAGGCCATCGGGAATGACACAGCCTCGGGTTAATGAGGGGCTGAAACAAACACCCTTTCTTCAGAACTACCTCTGCTACATTCCTTGTGTAGTAAAGAGATTTATAGTATGAAAAATATTTCTTAAATTTAACTGAGGAAGCCTTTGTGTGTTATAGACTGAGGACACCCCAGATGCAAATTTATAGTATGAAAAATATTTCTTAAATTTAACTGAGGAAGCCTTTGTGTGTTATAGACTGAGGACACCCCAGATGCAAAGCTGTAAGGAACGAGACTAAAAAAAAGCTAAAAGTGATCCTATGTACTTAGGAGAAAAGTAATTTATTCAGGGTATTATTGTATATGCCACCTCTTCAGAGTCCTTCAAGGCAGCTTACAAATAAAAACATCGTAACACAAAAACAAAGACCTTTACCTTTAACACAAAAACAAGACACTGGACCTAAGCAGCACAATGGCTATCATCCAAGAGAAGCAGACTATTAAAAGGTTGATAGGATAAACCCCCTAATTAAAAGCCTGGGTAGAAAGATGTGTTTTGGCCTGGTGCCTGTCGGAAAGTAAAGTAGGCACCAGGTTAGCCAGGAGGAGGCGGGGGGGGGGAGAGGAGGAGGATGGATTTATACCCTGCCCTTCACTCAGAGCGGCTTACAATCTCCTTTCCCTTCCCCTCCCCACAACAGACACCCTGTGAGGTAGGCGGGGCTGGGAGAGCTCTGAGAGGACTGTCCATGAGAGAAAAGCTCTGACAGAACTATGGCTTGCCCAAGGTCATCCAGCGGCTGCAAGTGAAGGAGTGGGGAATCAAACCTGGTTCTCCCAGATTAGAGTCCGTGCACTTAACCACTACACCAAACTACATAGCCAGCAGGGCTTGAGAGGCAGATTCTAACTGGCGGGCTGTATAGTAATGGTAGATGATAGTATTAGGGCTTAGTGCCACCTAGGCCACGACAGTATCAGCCTATCCCGCAAGCCAGCGTGACAGCCTGTTCTTCCTCTTAGATATACAAAACATGCCTCACATTTAACCTCACATGCTGTAAGATGCACAACACACACAGGTGGGTGACAGGTGCTGATGAGCACGGTCCTCATGTCTCATGCTTAGCAGAGTCAAGAGGACTTTCTGCTTGCTCTTACATGTCAAACACAAAGGAAAGTTATCTGAAAAGAGTGACCGTGACTCTTCACCCTCTAACCCCAATTCCCAAGAGCTCCAAAATTCAACACATTAGCTGGCATTAAAAAACCCCCACAACAATGGACCCTGCCCTGCCACCTCCCTACTTGAGTTAGTTGCTATGACAGAATAGTGATGTTTTGTGGGAACAGTGTACTGAATAGGGTGATATGCTCTGCTACAGTGGAATGTAAAATGGCCTGGGAAAAGGAGTTCGCCTGGCATCTTTGAACACAAGAGCAAAATGCAGCCCTCTGAAAGCAAATGTTTCACGGTGCAGGAAGAATTCTCCCCCCTTATTGAGATATGGAAAAGAACTGCCGAATCTTCGTTTTATTTTCTGACAGTAGGAGAAAAGCGGTGTAAACGCTAGCCTTCTTTGGAACTGGGGTCTGTGTGCGTGTCACTCTTTGCAGTGTGAAGATATACCACTTCATACAGAGCGCACAGAATAAGGATTCTTGTTCTATTTGCCTACAGAACGCAGGACAGAAAGACTTAAAACCATTAAAGACAGCCAAAGCACTTGCCTTGTTGATCTTCTCTTTCGGATGTGTCAAAAGGTTTGGGAAGTGCGACAGGACGTCACAGTTGAGAACGACTTGCGTCTGCTCATCGGTACCGGTGACTATGTTGCCGACCGCTCTCAGTGCTGCCGTCTAGGGTTGAAGAAATACAAGGAACATTTTTAAAGGCCGCTCATGCATCCCTTTTTAGGCCGGTCCATATGCCGTGCCGGCACGTAGGCTGTGCGCAAACCGAGAGTTATGTGAGAAAGCACCAAGTTTACGCGCCTTCCTCAACTGCATGTTGAATCTTCAACTAGACCTGCGTAGGTAAGCCATGCTCACCTAAATCCACCCTTCCCTTTTTTTGCAAGAGACGGGTGACAAGCGAGCCTTGATCAGGCGTTTACGCTCGACTGCCGTGACTGCCCGGCCTCCATCTTGTCCGTTTTACTCTCTATCCCTTTGGCTTGGGGCCCAGCCCACCTGTCCTGCCAAATCCAAGTCGGTCTGGCAGCTTTTGTCTAGGCGTTGTTCTGGAGGGTATCTGCAGGATAAAGGAGGCAGATTATGCAAGGCAACAGGCAGGAGCTTCGTACGTATGCATAAACTGTGCGTGTGTGTGTGTATAAAGCACCAGGGTCACAGCACAGAGGTAGGCAACGGCAAACCGTCTCTGAACATCTCTTGCCTTGAAAACCCTACGGGGGTCACTATATGTCAGCTGTGATTTGATGGCAAAAAATATAGTGCCATCGCAGCCGACTTATGGTGATCCCGTAGGGTTTTCAAGGCAAAGAGATGTTCAGAGGTGGCTTTGCCATCGCCTGCCTCTGCGTAGCAACCCTGGACTCTTCCTTGGTCTTCTCCCATCCAAGTACTAACCAGGGCTGACCCTACTCAGCTTCACACTGGGCCAGCTGGACCAGGGCAGGCCGCTTTTACGACAACTGAATCATAGCCCTGAAGGGCAATGGTTACCTGCCTTGGCTACGCAAAGGGGTGTGGGGTCCTCCTGGCACGAAGGAAAAGCCCAGGAAGAAGCGAACCACCCCCCTTCGAGCACTACCGGCTCTGCAACTGACAATTCTAAACAGTTTTGTTCCCATCAAGATGCCACTTGCGTTAATTTATTTCTGTTTATTTACTCGACCTCTACCCTGCCTTTCTCCCCGATGGGGTTCTGAAGCGGCATACGTCCATCTCCTGTCTTCCATTTATCCTCTTAACAAACCCAGGAGGCAGGTCGGGCTGCGTGTGTCTGGCCCCAAGGTCTCCCAGCAAAGCTTCCATGGCAGAATGGGGAATTCGAACCTGGTCCTTCTAGATCCTAGTCCAACACTAACCGCTACAACACAGGCTCTCAGCCTGCATCTTCATGAATTTTACCCCCAAAGCAGATGCCTCACTGATCTCTAACCCTTCCTCTTCGGCTCTTCCTTCCTTCCTTCCTTCCTTCCGGGCACACCTCCGTCCTGCCTCAAATGCACCTCCTGCCCCAATCAGAAGACTCCCCTCTGACTTCACTTGGACTTCTCTCACCGCTCTCCAGGCCCAGGAATCCCAAACTTTTGTTTCTTTTACCCTCCGCCCCGTTATTATCACGTGCTGCAAGCAACACTCCATCTTGTACCCTGGGTCTCGACTCAGTTGTCAAAGCCAATCCCCCCGCTAGACGTGCTCCCCTCTCTGGGACTCCGGGGTCGACTGCCCCCATAACCAAGCAATCCCCACTCCAGGCGCTCCAAACCTCCAGGTGTGTGTAGGTTTGAAGTCTGCTTGGATCGGGTGACAGAATGGTCATATAAAGATGTGACGGCCCAAGGAACACCCCACCCCAAATGCAAACACTTTAGGGATAATACTTTCTCTTTTGACAAGTAAAATCCTTCTGAAGGGCAAGGTTTTTCACGTTCAAAATGCCTAGCATGAGAATATCTGGAGAAATTGGGCAATACGGGACAGCACTGAAAAAAGCCTCCTATGAAGTATTTTCTCCTTTTAAGCGAGGAAAACCTTGTCTCATGAAGCATTTCGCTCATTCCAAATGTACAGCATGAAAAAGGCTGTGGATTTTCTCAATTTTTCCCTGATGGAAAAACTAGGAAAGTTGGGGGGAGCATATGCAATATTTTCAAGATTTTTTGTTTACATGTACATAATTTTGGCTACAATTAATATATTAACAGCTAATTAACATGGGTTGAATGCTAATACGTTATGAAGAGTTCTGTGTTTTTTCAATGTTATGACACTTGGCTTAATATCCAAACACATCCAGTTCGGGAAGTGGGCAAATTCACACAAGGCATGTGGCAACCAATATGTGTCTTCTACACAGTGACATCACATAGGCTCTGGTTAACCCATCAAGGTCCTGGGCATGACGGCTATGTAAGCATCCACACCAAAGGCTGGCTTCCAGCAAAGCCAGCTTCTGTACAGTATATACAACTGTCATGATCTGGGCTGTGCAAGCAAAGGCCTAGCAGGCCTGGGAGCCTGACTAGCAGTGGGAGGAGGCCAGGCCTACAACTCCCAGAAGCCCCTGAGAGGTTTTGGCGCCAATTTTAGCCAATCACAGAGAAAGGGGACTTATAATAAAAGAGCTGGTACAGAGGAAGAGTTGTTCTTTCTTCCAAGAGAGCAGGGCCAGAAGGAAGGCTGCTGCTGGGAGAGACCCTCACCCAGGGTGAGTAGACTCAGGCCCAACTGAGACAGTGGACTAGGGACTGTGAGTCTAGTTGTGTTAGGGCATTTGGTTTCTTTTCTCTTCACCCACTCATCGTTATTATTCTTGCACCTTGTTTGTTTCCCACATTTGACTGACCTCCTGTAAAATAAACCTTTTATTTGTTGTTTACTCTGCCTGGTCCTCATGCCTATTATTCGGCCAAATAAGGGAGGTCTGAAGGTCTTGGGAGGGTGCTCTGGGCCTTCTCAAGGGATCCTAAAACCAGAGTGGTGGCAGCGTCAGGTGACACCCCACCTGAGCCGTGACAACAACTGACAGAACAAGCTGTGTGTGGACTGGCCCACAGAAAACGCACTCAGCATCAAGACAGGCAGAGATGGATTTCTCCCCAAAATTTCCATGTACAGAATCGAGGTTAAGTTTACCGAAGCAAAAGGGAAACCAGAATAAAACCAGTTCAATGACATGAACAGATCAGCCTGGTTTAGTTTCTCATATGCAGAAAGCAGAAAAGAACAAGCCTTAAGTCAAAAGACTCCTTCAGCATACATTTTTCCAAGGGCCCACCTCAGCTGTGTCATGAGGGTAAAATAGCGTTGCACTTACCTGTAACCAGGGGTCATTTCGTAGAAAAAGAGGTGCAGGAGCTCATTAGCATAACTTATTTGCATATGCCACACCTCTTGAAATCACTGGAAGTGTGTCAGAAGGCAACACCCACCGCTCAAGCCCCACTGGACTGTTTTGGATTGTTAGCTATTGGAGGGGTGGGGAGAAAGTGCAGATCTGTCCCTCACAGAGGAGGGAGAGCTTGTGCCTCAATAAAACTTGGTCTTAAAGGTGCCACTGGACTGTTTTAGACCCGGGGGGCGGGGGGGGCTCTGCAACTTACCTGGCTGCTTCTTGCTCTGACTGAGGGCTGCTGGGAGCAGGGGGTGGGGCTTGTTGCATGTGCCCGCCCCCTGGGCTCTTTACTGCCGGAGCTCCGCTCCTGTGTGCTCCTGCAGGAAATGACCCCTGCCTGTAACTCTTGTTCATCGAAGTATTTTCTGTGTGGGCACACTGGGACCGCGCTTGTGCAGGCCAGCCACCCGAGGCTCTCTTGAAGCTACTTTAGAATTTTACCACTCCAGGTGGGGGGGAGCCACCCCCCGCAGAGCTCCTTAGAGGCCATAATATATATATGGTATCAGATTGATGTAATTTCTGTGCACTGAGGACAAGCAAGTCCTAGGTTACAAACTGAACTCTCCAATGCAAGAACAAGATGCATTTCTTCCTTTAGGAGGTGCTATTGTCACAAGAAAAGAAAAAGGTTTCAGTTTTGTTTTTGCATGTGGGTGGGTATTCTGTTTGTAATAATTGTTTGGATACACTATATTTTTAATATGCTAGTTTTGATAATTTCATGCCAAGTAAAAATGTCCATAGTCATATTTTATGTTCCTAAAGTAACAGAATGACTTTCAATCTAGAAAAGACAAAAGAAATGCCAATGTAGCATTTTTTCAATGTTTCCGAAAATTTCTGTTTTCCCCCGAAAAAAACTGGGGTTTTTTTTTCCGAGCTTCAAAATTTCCAGAAATTTTACATCTCTAATGATTTGGCCATTCACAACATCTACTCTACACAGAGTTTCAGATCTTCGCTTGGTGAAACTGGATCAGGGTCCCCTACCATGTCATTGGGGGGAGGGTCTGGTGGCAAACCTCAGCCCAGGCCAGAAGGAGAGTCAGCTCCCAGAATCTGCTCCACAGGGTGTCAAGGACAAATGGCAGAAAGATAACAAAAACTGGCGGACCCAATGCCTCACTGCTCCGTGGCCAAGAGAGCCTCGGTTCTGGAGGCACTTTTCTCACCCCAGTCCTGCGGTTTAGGCGAGGGGAAATTATAAGGATTAGCTTTGTCAAGGAGGTGGCGGCAGAGGATTCTTCCATGGTGCCGGGGAGGATGGTTCCTCTAATGATCGACTCGCTGCTGGAACTGTAGGTGCGGCCTAGCCCAGTCCTGTTTCTCCCTCTGAGAAAGACTGCACTGGCTCAGAGGCGTGCGGAGAAGGCGTTCACAGTGGGGAGAACTCCTTCTGTTCCGTCGGAACTGAAGTTAACTTGGCTGGCACCGAAGAGCTTGACTCTGGTGGTGGCTTGGAACTGGACCGATGTTTATGTTTAATTTTGGAATGGGCCTTCTTAGGCAGGGGTTCCGATGTGCATCGTTGCCCAATGGGCCCAACGCTTCAGTTCAGTCCCTGGAACCAATGGAACAGAGACACCCGATGGTGGACTCGCACGTTGATTGGTTGTGGCTGGTGGTTTTGAAGGCAAGGACTTAGTTTGCTCTGCCAGGGCAGATGTTTTTGCCATCGGGCTATTGGAGCAAGAGACCGCTTTCCCCCATAAACTTGCTTTCAAGCGTGCTGCCCGATCTGATCAGGCCTTCAGAGTAAACTGGAGGCAGATTTTGCACGCGGTCGTGTTGTGAGCCTCACCCAAATAGAAAAGACAAAGCAAATGCTCGTCTGAGCGAGTCGTTTTTGTTCCACGTTGGGTACATTTTTTGAATAAAGCCTTCCGTGACATTCTTGAAAGAAGAGAGGGGTTCCAGGAACAAGAAACTCTGTGGGGTAAAAAACTCACAATCTCTACTAGATGAGCGGTCGGGTTAGAACGGATAAAAGGAAGTACTTCTTCACCCAAAGAGTGATTAACACTTGGAATTCACTGCCACAGGAAGTGGTGGCGGCTACAAGCATGGACGGCTTCAAAAGGGAATTAGATAAGCATATGGAGCAGAGGTCCATCAGTGGCTATTAGCCACAAGGTATAGATAGGGGCTCTGGGGCAAGTGATGCTCTGTCATCTTGGTGCTTGGGAGGGGTCAACAGTGGGAGGGCTTCTAATGTCCTGGCCCCACTGGTGGACCTCCTGATGGCACTGGTATTTCCGGCCACTGTGTGATACAGAGTGTTGGACTGGATGGGCCTTTGGCCTGACCCAACATTGGCATCTCTTATGTTCTTATGAGGGAGAAGATGTCCTCGTAAGGTGGAAGCGGAAAAAGGACTGAGGGAAAGGGGGGAGCTCCGCCCTAAAGAGCACGTGATCGTTGGGCGGGAAAACGGCTTCTACGGAGCTCTGCGGGGGAGGGGTCCCCTCCGGAGTGGCAAAATTCTAAAGTAGCTGTAAGAGCGCTTCTGGCAGTTGCCCTGCGCAATGTGGCACTGCACAGAAGATTGAAGGTGGACCTTGACACAACAGCACTGAAGTCCACAGTATTTATAATGTTCAATCAGGACAAAGGACAAACTTTAATTTAACTGCTGTGAAGGCCTCAACAGGCCGAAAGGAAGATTATAAAATTTAACATAAACCATAACAAATTGATTGGGCGTGGGCAATACACGAGTCATTTCACTCCCGCTGTAACATCCCACCACAAGAAAGCTTACCTGAACTTTAACCTCCTGGTGGCTCAGGAGGGGAACTAGAAAAGGTACGACACCCGAATCTATCACCATCTGTATTTGTTCATTGCCGCCATCCGTTAGGTAGGACAAAGCCCAAACGGTGTCCACAAGAATCTACACAGAAAAGACGTTTTTGTCGGTCAGTGTAAGACTACAGCAAATGTTCAAGCCAGGGCAACATTTACTTGACAATTTGAAAATTTTGGCAAAAAGTATTCAATACGTTAATTATGTAACTTTTTAGCATTTCCTTTGCTCAAGAAAAATTCCATGCTTCATACTCTTCAAGGAATGCTCCAGAATTCAGCCTCAGAACAGGCTCTAGAAAGTGGTGTTGGTTGATTCACACCATGGCTCTTTTTGTAGAAAAAGCCCAGCAGGAACTCATTAGCATAATAGGCCACAGCCCTGACAGCACAGCTCATTAGCACATTAGGCCACACCCCCATGTTACCAGAAGTGTAGTTATCCAGCCACACCCACCTTTTGCTTCTTATTCTGTTGACCTTGTTTGTTGTCAAAACCCAGGGCCTTTTTTTGTAGCAGGGACTCCTTTGCATGTTAGGCCACACACCCCTGATTTAGCCAATCCTAATGAGTTTCTGCTGTTGGGTGTGGCCTATTATGCTAATGAGTTCCTGCTGGGCGTGGCCAACTTGGGAGCCAGCCGGAACTCCGTTCCTGTGCGTTCCTGCCCAAAAATAGCCCTGATTCACACCAAACAGATTTGTTGCGAGCCAGTGTGGTGTAGTGGTTAGTGCGTTGGACTAGGATCCGGGACACTCGGGTTCGGAACCCCACTCTGCTATGGAAGCTCACTAGGTGACCTTGGGCCAGTTCCATCCTCTCAACCTAACCTACCTCACACGCTTGCTGTGAGGATAAAAGGGAGAAGAGAAGGATGTAAACCACTTTGGGCCCCCATGGGGGAGAAAATCAGGGCATAAATAAATAGTCCTAACAATAATATAATTATCTTCAAGGAAATTCTAGCAAAGGAAGGAATAACACTCAGCCAGCCTCACTGCAGACACATTTCCACAGAGAAAGCACCAGGTCTACATGCTACCATATCTTACCAAAGGGTGGCCCCTGTTGCCCCAAGACGTGGGAACAAGATGAATTTCTAATGTTCAAAGCACTGGCTGAAGAAAGCAACCCCAAATGCTGGGGCCGCAATGCCCACGCATACACCAAGGAGGCCCAGTTTTGCAGTCCGGCAGCAGTCCCTCCTATCAAAGAGACGCTGCTCCATTAAGAACCCTGACTGTTTGGAAGGGGTCCAACAGCAGAACACAGACATTAAAAAAATACACTCACAACACTGCGAGGTAGGTCAGGCTCTGCGATATGTGACTGGGCCAAAGTTACCCAGCGAACTTCCATGGAGGACTGGGGATTTGAACCCGTGTCCCCCAGATCCTGTGTCCAATACTCTACTCGTTGCCTCAAACCTATGTGGAAGGTTTGTGTTGTTGTTTTTTGTTAAAATGCGGGGAATGTAACAAAGTATTGTGTATCTTAGAACAAGCAATAGTATCAACCCCTCAGGATACCCTCTGGACCAGACAGGCTACCTGGCTGGTTATACTTCTACAATTATTGAAAACTTGGGCATGATATAATATCTTAGTATTTCTCTATTCACAACAGAAATGAAGAGTCTGAAATGTAGTTTAATTTGCAGTCTTCCAGATGGGAAAAAAATCTAATATTCCAGGTCCAGAGGTGCTGTGATAAATGGTCAGTTTTTTCGTACAACACAAAATAGGGTTGCAGCTGCTAGGAAGGGTTACTGTTCTGATGTCACTGAGGCAAGTGAAATTTTGAATATTGTACTGTTGACATTTAACCCAGGCGAAGTCAAATATAAAACGTTAGCCAAACCAATGAAATCCTCTGGAACAGTGCAGAGAAGACTTTTTCCACCTACAATGGACGATTCGATCTACTAATTATATGACTCAATTTATCTGGACAAGAATTTTTCAGTGGCTTGTAGACTGCTTTTGAGAAGTCATTTATTAGCAGATAAGGCAGTAGCCATTCCAAGAAGCAGAAACTGACGAAATGTGCAAGATATAGGCAAGATCAACAGAAGATATCCAGATTCCCAGACAAACTGGACAATTTACAGAAGGGCATGTACTGTGACTAAAGATTTAAAAGCAATAGTTTCTGACAGGGCTATTTTTGTGCAGGAACCCATAGGAACGGAATTCCGGCTGGCTTCAGAGCTGGCCATGCCCACTACAGCCAAAACCTCTGTGTGCGTGGTTACAGAGGGAAGGCCTGGAGAGCGACCCCCCCCCAGCGACTCCATGGTGAACGGGCAAGGGGGGGGGGCCTGGAAGGATCAGGGAGGCATTTAAATGTGCCTTCCCCGGCCTGTCCAAGGGCCGGGCACCCGGGCAAGCCAAGGGAAGGCATGGAGGTGTGGCCTAATATGCTAATGAGCTGCACTGTCAGGGTGTGGCCTAATATGCTAATGAGTTCCTGCTGTTTAGTGTGGCTTATTATACTAATGAGTTCCTGCTGGGCTTTTTCTACAAAAAAAGCCCTGGCTTCTGACATGTAAAAAGCTTAAATAAAAGTGCTTATTTAGGATTAAATACAGTAGCCAGCTTGTTTCTAATCATTCTTCAGTTGAAACCCACACAAAAGCCAACTTTTGATATTATTTCTATGAATTTTGGGGGGGTATCAATTCTGGGAATTTTTAATAGGAACACAGCTCAAATATTAAAAGAAACTTTAAGACAGAAACAGAAAAAAGACCAGAGTTTCAGTATTTACTTACGTTTATATCTGTATGGTATATGAGAACACACAAGGCTGGCAAAATCTGACGGAAGAAAAAAAAATTGTTATAGCAAATCTATAAATGCGAGAGAAAGCAACCAGACTCTGTAAAACGGCAACAAAACTAAGGCAGACTAACCAAAACTACAGGAGGTAGGTAGTTTTAACTACTAGCTAACCTATATTGTACACAGATTTAATATTTTAATAATGTAGAACAGAAAACATTAACAGCAGTTTCATCTGACATCAGAGAAGGAGAGATGAAGAGCATGGACTCATTCCTAAATGTAATTTCTCCATAATCCAGAATGGTCACTTTGAATCAACAAACTGGCACAATAGCCAAAAACATCACAAGCCCCTTATAGTGACAACTCAACTGATATTCTTATCTTTTAATTTTGTTCCGCTTTTAGTGACGTTACGGCTACAGAGCAGCAGAGACGTGTAATAAATTACACGGGCTCTGTCCCACTCATGAGAGGATTCCTTTCCTAAGCCCACTGGCAAGCAGAACCGGCGGTGCTGAGAGCGATGGCTGCAATAGCCAGGAACGTCCTCCCCAAATACTTAAATGCGGCTGCTGCATGTGCCTGGAGGCCATGCTAGACACAGCAGGGGCACAGTCTCCTGAACGCTTTAAAGAATTTTATACTTATTGAAACTGACAGCTTTTATTGAAGAACTGAAATGCAGCTACAGGTAGTGGAGAACTTATCGGGCACAACGATGGCAGTGAAAATATTTTGAGTCTATTCTAGAGACGTGAAGGCCCGGAAAAAAAACTGAAAAAATTCGGGGGGAAACCGTTTTTTTCCCGTTTTTTCCCTGAAGCCTTTTTGTTTTTTTCCAAAAAATTGGAAAAATTGAAAAAAGAAAAAAAAATTGATTATGGAACATTTTATTTTAACATGATGAATAAAATATTTTAAGACAAGGTGTTCAAATATTTTCCAAATCATTTCTAAAATATATATATACGGTATCAGATTGATCTAATTTCTGTGCACTGAGGACAAGCAAGTCCTAGGTTACAAACTGAACCCTCCAATGCAAGAACAAGATGCATTTCTTCCTTTAGGAGGTGCGATTGTCAGAAGAAAATAAAAAAGTTTCAGTTTTGTTTTTGCATGTGGGTGGGTATTCTGTTTGAAATAATTGTTTGGATACACTGTTTTTTTTAATATGCTAGTCGTGATAATTTCATGCCAAGTAAAAATGTCCATAGTCATATTTTATGTTCCTAAAGTAACAGAATGACTTTCAATCTAGAAAAGACAAAAGAAATGCCAATGTAGCATTTTTTCAGTTTTTCCGAAAATTTCCGGTTTTCTCTGGAAAAAACCGGGGTTTTTTCCGAGCTTCAAAATTTCCAGAAATTTTACATCTCTAGTCTATTCTCAGCCATTTTCCCAATCAAGATTGTCCACTACCCCCTCCTGCTGAGAAAGAGACAGAACCTTCCCCATCTCTCTCAGCAACGGAAAAGATACGGGGTGGGGGTGGGGGCACCAGAGGAACTGCTGAACAAGCAGCCCTGCTGCTTCTCCAAATACACCTGCAGGTCCCTGTACTTCAAGGTTGTGTTGTTGCTTTTTGTTAAAAACCCTGATTCCAATTTATGCAAGTGAACTGCTTGTGTTTTTAGTTTCTCACTGATGTTAATGGGCTCTCATGTTCTCTTAGAACTCTTACGTGCCCACACCCCTTTGACAATTTGGCTCAAGACCAGCTACCCGCTAGCATCATTTGATATTTTAACTTTGCAATTATTAGATAAGATAAACAGATCCCTCAGACACCGATGGGTCTAGCAGCCAGGATCAAAATCCACATAAAATATTAGAATAAATGTGCTCGTACAATTACACAGGCTATAAATGTGTTTTTTTCCTAAAATATAATAGCAAATATAAATATAGTGAGTTTTCAGTCTCTAAGGTGTCCATTCCAGGCATTTGAAAAATACAGGAGTATCTGACATAGGAAAACTTTCCAAATAAGTATCCTGCTGTGTAAGAATGTTCACTTCCTCCCAACTTCATTAGGGTGATGAAGCTTGTAGAGAGTAAGGAACCACACTCACTACAAGCTTCATCGCCCGAATGAAATTGGGAGGAAGTGGACATTCTTACACAGCAGGATAAAGTTTTCTTATGTCTGATACTCATGTATTTTTTAAGTGTCTGGAATGGACACCTCAGAGACTGAATTTTGACTTTTGGTTATACATGTAAAAAGGTAAAGGTAAAGGTTCCCTTGCTCCAAAGCCAGTCGAGTCCGACTCTAGGGTTGCAGTGCTCATCTCCGTTTCAAAGCCGAAGAGCCAGCGCTGTCCAAAGACGTTTCCGTGGTCATGTGGCCGGCATGACTAAACACCAAGGCGCACGGAACGCTGTTACCTTCCCACCGAAGTGGTACCTATTTATCTACTTGCAATTTCTTGCTTTCGAACTGCTAGGTTGGCAGGAGCTGGAACTAGAGATGGGAGCTCACTCCGTCATGCAGCAACTCGGGTCTTGAACTGCTGAACTACTGACCTTCCACAGCGTGCAGTTCAACGTCTTAACAACTTGAGCCACCGCAGCTCATGTAGTCGTATATATATTTCACTACATTGATATTTGCTATTATGTTTAGGATAAAGCATATTTATAGCCTGTGTAATTATATGAGTATTTATTTATTACAATATTTTACACGCCATAATTGTGTTTGGGTTTACTACTCATAGCCGTGTCCCCTGTTTACATGATAACCAAAATCCGGCAGAGAAGGGCGCACTACAGAAGCACGCAGCACATGTGCCACCATGGGGGGAAATGACCTGCAGTGAGGCTGAGGTGCAATTCTCTATTTACCTCCTGAACGGTCTCCATAGGCGGTGGGGGGTCCTTATTCCTGCAGAGATTTACAATGACCCATGTGACGTTCCGGAGGAAGGTGATGGGAATGGAAGGGTTGATGAAGGAGAGAAGAGGTTTGACAACTCCCAGTGATATGACATAATCTCTACACTGGGGACCATCACCTACAGAAATGAAAATTGTTTAAAGAAGATTACATTCACAATGGAGAAACTCTGAAATGTATGCAATGACTTATGTTGGGAGACTGATGTTCTATGTTTCCCCGTTATGAACAGTACAAAAAACGTCACTGTTTAGTGAAAAATCTGAGCAACACAATTTGTCCTACTTTTATAGAAAGCAAGAGAAGCGAAGTTATCAAAATGAGGATGTTTCATTACTTAACTCTACCGCACCAAGAAGAGAACTTAAGAGGAAACATAGTCTCATGAGGGTAATGCCAATGTTTAAAATTAGGTTTTAAAGCCTTCAGCGGCTATTGCTTTTTTTTCCTCTCCCCTTCTAGAAATACAGCTAATCCTTACCAATAATATTCCCAAGAGCCCACACGGCTTGTTCACACACATTCTGATGCGGCGAATGGAGCAGTCTTAAGAAGAGAGGCACTGCATCTGTAAGAGAACACGGGCTTGACGTAAGTGAAATACGGCATCCATACAGAACAGCGCTTGCATTTTACCGTGTATCCCTGTAGCTGGTGGAAGGAGTTCTGAAACCAAGTGACAAGAACTCAAACCGGATTAGAAATGCGTCTTAGAAGAACTGCGCAGGTGACGCCCGTCCTTGAAAAAGAGGCCAGTCTCAAATGTTCGTTTACGAAAGAAGGCACCTAATAACTAAAGCGCCTCCTTATAATACAAAGGCCCAGCACCCCGTGACCGAGAGAGCCGGCTCTGCCAGAAGGCCTTATTGATGACAGCAGCCATTTCCCAACATTCTCCCAGAGGTGATTTAGTTTGACACAGAAGTTAGGCAGCTGACGGGTAAGGGATACCCCGACCCTGGGCGTAACTCTGGGGGAAAGAACAAGAGGGGGCGCTGTGACCTCAGGGGCTTCGTGCCCACCTCCCGAAGCCGCCTGACGATTCTCCGAAGTGCTGAATGCAGAATCCTCCCAACCCACCGGGAGCCCTGCTTCAGCTCTCCCAACCTACCCAGGGCCAGCTTCCAAGTTGCACAGACACATCTGATGCGTTTCCAGTGCTTCTCTTCACCGTCTGAAGCGGGGGGGGGGGACAGTAAATCCCTGCACCCCTTCCTCCAAGGTCCATCTCCTTGGGTGGAGGAGGGGAAGAACCCTAGCCCCACTTCCGGCAGGCTACGGTTTTTGTTCTGATGCATGGTTTGATGAATCATGGTTAGGTCGGCAGCTGTCCCAGGTACAATGAGGAGACCACCGGGCCACCGTTAAGACCCTCGTCAGGCAGTGTTCCCTCTAAGCTGTTAGTGTGAGCTAGGTCACCGTTCCTTGAGCCTCCGGCTCACACGTTTTTGTCTCAGCTCAGGAAGGAGGGCTCCAGAGCAAACTCATTTATGCAGCAGCCAAATCGCTCGCTCACGCCTTGAATGCCAGTAGAATTTTTGCTCACGAGACTCCACAGCGGAGAGGGAGCCACTGCCGCCAGGGCAGGTGTCAGGCCGGCTTCTCCCGAGCGGGGTCTGCCCTGTAAGTGTTCAGGGTGGAAGTGGTAACAAAAGTGGGGCAGGGTCTGAAAAACTATTTCGTCACTCCCCCTTTACTTGGACAACCTGCGTAGCAGAAATAAAACAGTGCCTGGAGGGTGCTCAGAGACCACTCCCATAGCCTCATATGCCAGTGAGGAGACACCCCCCACCTTTGCTTTGTACATCTCCTCCATCCTGGCCCTGTCAGAGTATGAAGATATGAGGTGTCAGATTCAGATGATGGTCCTCTAAGTGACAGCTAACAGTCCTTCAGGCCAGCAGTATTAGCTGGAGAAAACTGGTTCTGACTGGCTTGGTGATAGCTGTCTCAGAATGACTCAGCAGAGAGTGCTGATTGGTTAATGCACATATATAAGCATTCACTGTACAGTCCACTTTACCCTCTTTGATGTATTGGTGCATGGCGGAGCATTTTGCCGGTTGGACTTGTGTATACCTGCACTGCTTAACAGGACCTTTTGTAAATAAAACCTTGTAAATGTTCCTTCCCACCTAACTGTGTGGACATTGGACTCTTTTGGGACTTGGCTCTGCACTATTCTGAGAAACTCTGCTCTGGTGGTAACTCACCAGCCACTAACACCACTCCCTAACAGGCCCAACTTCGACCGACAGCAGCTGCGGATCGTTCCCTCCACCCTGCGCACAGCAACTGTTCTAAGGGATCTTCTACAACGGCCGCCTTTTCTCATCCACAGAAGACTAGTGATCATTCCCCCTTCTTTCAGAGAACTAAGTTCTATGCCCCGCCCTACTTCACAAAATAACACGTGTTCCCTCTAAGCTGAGTTAGTGTGAGCTAGCTCACCGTTTCTTGAGCCTCCGGCTCACACACATTTTTGTCTCGGCTCAGGAAGGGACGGCTCCAGAGCAAACTCATTTAGGCAGCAGCCAAATCGCTCGCTCAACACTTGAATGCCAGTAGCTCACAAGGTAGAATTTTTGCTCACAGGACTCCACAGCTTAGAGGGAGCACTGCACGTGAACACTTTCCATGTCACTCCTCTGGAGCGAGCCACCTACTTCTTCCAAAACAAGCAAGTAAAATATGAGGAACGGTGAAAGAATCCTCCACCACCCGCCCTCCCTGGTTCAAGTTAACGCAAATCTTTCCCCGGCAAATAGGCATCCCTCTGCTCAGTTAAAAGACACGGAGCACTTACTAGATTGTACAACTGCTTGGGTCTGTGCAGAAGTGCCTGATGCTATGTTAGTCAGGGCCCACGCAGCTTCGAACTGTAAGGAAGGACTGTTAAAAAAACAAAGACAAAAAGACAAAGCGGCGTTAATAGTTGCATTGCAATTCTATAAGTAATGGTGATAGAAAGGGTGCAAATGCTGAAATCTTACCAAAGTATTCACTACCATACTCTGTAACCCTACCGCTGCGTAGGCTGTAGCTCTTGAACAGCCTTTACAAAGTGTACACCGACACTTAATTATTACATCACAAATAATGCAGGAAGTATGAACTATCTTACAGATTTCTATCAGGACCCTTCTAATGCGAGGGTTGCCATTTTCTTCCAAAACATCTATCAAGACGGCATTTCTGCCATGGCAGATTTCCCTAACACGGAATAACACAAGATATTCAGCTTTAGGACTCCCAGAAGTAAATATTTAGCCACAACGAGGAAATGAAGAATAACCTCAGTAACGCAAGGTAACAACCAACCTTAGTAATATAATGGGGGAAACCCAGAGGCTGTATATTTCAGTGAGCAATTAAAACAGATTCCAAATGCACACAAAACACTACTTACCTAAGGGGACCGCCTTTCTCCACATGTGCCTCAGAGAGCACTAAGATCGGGATCCCAAAATCGCCTGACTCTTCTGGGCCCTAAAGAGGCCAGGCTGGCCACAGTGAGGGGCAGGGCCTTTTCTGTGGCGGCCCCTCACTGGTGGCATGAGCTCCCGGATGACATACATTCAACTCACGCAAATCTATGCTACCAGAAGTATTGGTGGACTTTAATTGGCTATACTTGAGGCCTATCATATACAACAATAATATACATATAAATATATAAGGATACAACATCTGGCCTTATATTGCATATGTACTTAACATCTGATGTTTAAAAAAAACTTTTTTTGAATGTATGTCAAGTTTGTATTTTGGATTGTGACCACTGAGGAAGGCCCTTTGGGGCCGAAACGCATTTGGTTCAGTTGCACAGCACTAACCCATCTATGTATGTATGTTGAAAAATTTTTCATGTCTGAATGTGAATATTTTTAATGAGTCTAAGTTTTTTTAAAAATGTGTACACCTGAATAAATTTTGTATGTTTATAATATTTAGTGTCAGCTTAACCCTTGTGGATTCATGGCATTCACCTCACCCGTACCACTTAAATAACTAGCATGTTTTTTAAAATACAAATAACTGCAACCATCCAGCGCCTAATACATTTCCCACGAACATTGTTAGGTTATGAACGGGGTACTGAGAAAAGGGATACCAGGACTTACTTATCATCCCTTTCTAAGCATTTCACCAAGATGGGTAAAATTCCAGATTTTATTAAGTCATCAATAGGAGGATTTCTGTCGCTTGATAACAGCTTTCTGTAAGATTAAAGCACAAGAAGTTAATGAAAGCGACAGCAACCACACTTCAGCCTTTCAAATGAGGTCCACATAAACACTCACCTAGCAGCTTGGACAGCACTGAGTTGAATGACGGGGTTATCGCTGGTAGCGTTCTGCAGCGTTAACACAGATTTCAGAAATTTAGAAGTCAAGAATTCAGAAAACTAATATGAAGGGGGGGAAACAGACTGTTCGGCAACTCACCTGTAATATAGCTTCTAGGGTTACGTTTTGCTTAAATCAAAGAGAGAGATGGTTTAGTTATCATTCCCATTACGAAGCCAACATTCTTCACAAAATAACAATCCAACCATTTTAAAGTAATAAATGCAGTTTCCTAGTTAATTTCCCCCACAAATGCTTTTTCCGCAATACACACTGTTAATTAAACTGAAGATTTCAAAGAACAAGAGTCTATGACTTCTAAGTTTTGCTTGCATTTAAAAAAAAGCAGCTTACTGCTTTGAAATCGGCGTCAACATCTGAGTCTTCTAAACTCTCTTCTTGCGGCACATTTCTTTTTTTCAACAGATGCTCGTCTCTCTTGCTCTGAAAACAAAGGATCAACAGAGCGCCCTTAATACGCTTGTCTCTTTTGCTCTGAAAACCACGTTCTTAAAAATAGATTTGTTAACAAACGCCATAAACAAACTGATAGACTTCACATAAGGAAATCTGCAGCTACATTTAGCTGGAATGCAAATTTACCTTGCCGCCCCTTGGATTAAAAACTCATTTAAATTCATGCACGTGTGCAAAAGAAATTCTATTATGCTCATTATGAACACCTTCCTTTCTGTTAAAGTGTCTGCAGAACAAGTTCGTGGTTGGCAAACCGATTTCCTGCTGGGCAAATACAAAAATGAAATCAGTTTCGGAGGGCCAGGACCCTGATTCTAGCCACTACATGACTGACAGGCAAGTCCCGTCTATTGCACTCTCAGCCCGCCCCTCCTCCAAAGGACTCAGTATAGCATACAGGGCTCTCACATTTGTGTTTTATCCTCACTTGGCATGGAGTAAGGGGATTTGAATCCAGGTCCCCACATTCCTACTCCATTATTCTTATCGTACCTCCATATTGGCTACATACCATATGTCTTTTCAGTACCTGCGCTGGCGATGCAGTACCTGTGTTGGGGGTTAGATCTGGCTTGAGACCGTTGCTGACTCCCTCATCTAAACTCTATTGTAAAATGAATGCTCCTTCAATGTGCATAGTAGAGCACTCTAAGCGCTGGAAGAACTATTTCATTTATGAATGGGACTATTTCAAACTCAGACAGCAAGTCCGCGTCTGCTTTAATCCTGCACAAGGAAGAAGACTCCAACAGCCAGCACATGCACACTAACCATTACGGCATTATCAGCAACTTCTGCTGAAACGATGAAGCAGCCAATAATTATTTTGAGGAATTATTAACAATACAAGAAGCAAAGCAAGGCACTGTGTGCGATACCAGGATATATTACAACTGATTACTCCCTCCACACACAAAAAAATTATAATATTTTATAGAGGAATGGAATTTGGTAAAACTTCCAATGGACACAACTTTTATTTAAAAACAAACAAACTGGAACAGTATTATAGTAATCACTGCTATTTAAATGCAGAGCCTTTTTTTTTTTTAACCATCAAACAAGGTGGTGTTTGCTTTAGTGGCATCTGCTTTTTTTAAGTTATCAGGTCAGAAGATATTTCCTAAACTATGTACTCAAGAGTTAAATGAAACCTTGATATATCTGTGAAATTGCAAAAAAAAAGAAATTTTCTATTTGCAATTTATCTTAGATGTGCCAACGTTTACCAATACACTCATGCTCTGAAGGTCTCCTGCCCTACAGGGAACACATGAAGCTGGATAACAACATGGCCCCGGTCATTCTGGTCTACTCTGCCCGGCAGTGGCCCTCCTGGGTCTCATGTAGAAAAAGGGTCACCTACTACTTGATCCTTTTTAACTGGAGATGCCAGGGATCGAACTCGGGACGTTCTGCATGGGAGCGGTGGCGCAGGGGATTTTCCCCTGCTGAAACATAACATCTGAACTGCCATGCTTTTGCAAGCCCCGTGCTGGTGTGAGCAACCAAGCCTTGTCCTAGTTCATCGTCTACCCAGCGATTCGAAAGCTTCGGCAAGTAGATAAATTGGGGACCACCCGTAAGGGGGTGGGCACACCCCTCCCTTCGGGAAGGTGTTAGCTGCTGCGGCGACCGGAAAGACGCAAGAACCGTGTCGGCTTCCCTGCAGTGGAGTGAGTTGGCCAGGCGGTGGCAGTGTGCACAACATCAAGAAGCCAGAAGTCATCAGCCAGCTGACAAGATGCCATAGGAACACAACTGACCCAGCCCGCAGATGAAGCCCGGCTAGCTGCAATGTGTGTGTAATTAATGCTGTATGTTGTCTTCCCTATCCCCACAAATATTGTTAGTCCAACTATCTCAAGAGTAACTGTAAATCGCTCTGAGCCCGCATTATTATTATTATTATTATTATTATTATTATTATTAAGGCATGCAAGGCAGATGCTCTGCTACTGACCCCACAGCCCTAGAGAATCATTTTCAAACCATCTCCCGCTTGAACAACAATAATCAGTACCACTGCTAAGAGCTCATGTGGCGTAATTTAGAAAACTGGGCACGAGAAACAAGGACATAGTGGTTATTATAACATTAACGCAGTGTGGATTTTTAGGCTTCCTATTGCAATAAAAAATTCCCTTCCATCACTCTACAGTGACAGCCTGCTTCACGCAGTCCACTCTACAGGGTGGGGACTACAGCAAAAAAAGAGGACGGGCTCTGGCAAATGCCAGGGAGACTACCTTAAGCAGGGGGACAACCAGCAGCTTGAGGACTGTAGTTACCACACAGGGACAGTCCTTCAGATATGTGGGTCCTGGGCCTTAAAGGGCACGGAAGCTCGGGCTCTTTTTGTAGCAGGAACTCCTTTGCATATTAGGCCACACCCCCTAATGTAGCCAATCCTCCAAGAGCTTACAGAGCTCTTCTTACAGGAACTACTGTAAGCTCTTGGAGGATTGGCTACATTAGGGGTGTGTCGCTTAATATGCAAAGGAGTTCCTGCTACAAAAAGAGCCCTTACGGAAGATCAAAGCGAACACATTCATTTGGACTCAGAAAAACGGGCAGCCAATCTAGCTGTTTTAAAAGTGGTGAGAGATGTTCTCATAAGCTAGCCCCAAACAATAGTCAAGCTGCTGCATTCTGAGCCAGTTGCAGTTTTCACAGTGTCTTCAAGGGCAGCCCAATGTAGAGCTTATTACAGTAGTCCAACAATGAGGTTACAAAAACATGGATTAGCACGGCTGAGTCAGCCAAGTCTAATAAAAGAAGAGAGTTGGTGGGCCAGATACAGCCAACAGAGGCACTCTAGGTCACCGCATCAACCTGCTTTCCAAACAGCAAGCGTGGGTCTATGTGAATGTCTTAAGAGCTGTCAAGTCACCTACGACTTATGGGGACCCTGTGAACTGACGTCCTTCAAGACATCCTATCATTAACAGCCTTCTCCAAGTCTTGCAAACTGAAGGCCGTGGTTTCCTTTAATGAGTCTTTATTTATTGTTACGGTCAGCGACCAGCGTACCTTTAAAGAGTCAATCTGTCTCATGTTGGGTCTCCCTCTTTTCCTGCCAAATTCTTAACCTGCCGGGCAAATGTAGGTTGTTCAACGAGAAAGGCTTGAAGGCATGCGCCAAAGACCAGTGTTTTCAAAATCTGCTCTTTATTTCCCAGTCTGTGGCATTCTTGCATCCACCCAGTTCACGGGCTAATGTTTCCAGGCTTCCAACCTCCACAGGACTGATCCTGTGAATTGCTGCCCACTGGGACATCAGTTTAGAGGAGCAAATAATGGCCTCCAGGGCTGGATACATATGTGAGTTAATAGCTTGAAAGCAAACAAGGAATAAGCCATGCAGTTCCAGACCCTTATCAGTTGTAGGATGTGCTGTGCATTAGGAGAACTCTGTCACCATGCTCACTACAATAGACTTTAAATGGAATCTCTTTTTAAAAAAACCCAGACCCAATATCTGCCCAGTGAAGGGCAATGGATACAATCATGTGTTCGGCACACTGGACTCCATGCGCTGCTTTCCCGACAGAACCATGGCATAAATTCCCCCCGTGAACCTTCACTCTGTAGGTGGAACTCCCCACAGCAACCTTGAACGCAAGCAAATGAAAAAGAGGCATATTCACCTTCCGAAGTTCAATTGTCACTTCATTTCTGTGTCTTCGCATAGTCTGTAAAAGAGGAGGGGGGATGGTTAGAGGTTTTACCGTAACAAATTTAAAGATGAGTTCAGAATACAACAGGGCTTCAGTTTTAAACTTATTGAAGAGGTTAAGAGTACTTATGGACTCACAAGAGGCCCGTGGCACAGAGTCACATCCCGCCCATCTTCCAAAATGGATTGAGGGGAAGGCTGCCTGTGTTCCTCTCCCTTTAACTACTTCATTCAAGCTATTGTGCTCTGGTGGAACTTGGGACCAGGAGCAAACTAGCTTAAAGAAAACAGTGGGGACAGGGTAAGGTTCCGCACTTCCCCTCCATCCCACTCACCCATCCTGTATTTTAAATGGAAGCACGCTAACATGCCTTAGGAGAAAGTACCACAATCTGCCTTGTAATACAAACGTCAAGGTGCTGTCATTTCTGACATGGCAATGTAAAATTTTGCTAGTAAAAACATCAACGGCTCTATAAAAATCAACTATTTAATATATTCGGGTCCAATGACATTGCCTACTCTGGCGGATAAGTGAGGCCTGCGGGGAACTTACAGGAACAGAAAAGATGTAAAAGACAAGGCCTTAGGGTTGGTTTTTTGTTTTTTTTAACTTCTGGGATTCCCACCCCCCCCTGCATACTAGACAGTTTCCAAGTTTGTACAGACAATCACTTTAGGGAGCCAGTTTGGTGCAGTGGTTAAGTATGCAAACTCTAATCTGGGAGAACCGGGTTTGATTCCCCACTCCTCCACTTGCAGCTGCTGGATGACCTTGGGCAAGCCATAGTTCTGTCAGAGCTGTCCTTGAAGGGGCAGTTCTCGAGAGAGCTCTCTCAGCCCCACCTACCTCACAGGGTGTCAGTTGTGGGGAGGGGAAGGGAAAGGAGTTTGTAAGCCTCTCTGAGACTCTGAGTGAAGGGCAGGGTATAAATCCAATCCTTCTTCTTCTCTTCTTCTTTATGTACTTGGACCCATTTTGTGGGTTTTGTTTTGTATCCTGGCGCCGAGATCAGAATTACAAAGCTGTGGCACAACATTCACCTCATCCACACAAACTAAATAACAACTTGCGTGTTTAGAAATACACACAACTGTGGTGCATGGCAGCGAAGGTGCAAAGGACAGCTTGGGAAAGCACACAGAATCTACTGGGAAGAAATCTGTATTTGGAGCCCTGTGTGTGAGGGGTTAAAATCTAAAGAACTATGTCTTAAATTCACAAACATGGCAGATTAAGAAAAGTCGACAAGTTTCGGGTTGGGGGTAGGTGAGACATCACCTGTTTCTGAATAAAAAGCCCCTGCATGTTAAAAAAAAAATTACACCCCAATCACAAAGTATTTTAAACCTGGCGTTCTCTGTCTGACATACTAGCTTTCTATATGAGGGTTTAAAAAAAACAAAAAACAAGCATGGAAGCATTCCTTTCTGCAATACTCCACCCGTAATCTAACATGTCAGAGTCCAGAAAAAGGGCTACCAGCGCATTAGCTGTGAATGTGAATGAAGGATATGCTAAAGGGAAGCGGCTATAAATGAAGTTCTGAACTGATTAATTAAACAACCGAGTCAAAGGCTAAATAACACCCTAGAAAATTTTCAAAGCTTTAGCGGTGAACCAACCCATTAATTTTTAAATAAACATACAACATCGCTAAAATTATATTCCCGATCAAAGAGATAGAAGGCAATCAAAAAGCCGAATGTAAGAACTAGCCGATGTTTCTGCCGTGGAGTGAAGATTGGAGCTGCCTCTGAGAACCTGTGCTAGGCCTCGCGCAACAGTGATTTACACAAGGCAAAGTAGGAAAGCATGCAAATGTTACTAAACTTATTTAGGATGGTCACGTGTGAGAGCTGAGGGCCACAGCCCCGGCCCTCCTCCCCAAAAGTGTCCTGTTGCCCAATTCCATTGCCACAGACACTGCTGTTTATACTCTTTTCCGCCCCTCTGGGACTGGCAAGTGAGAGACCAATGCGACATACGTGTGGGCCAGATCCAATTCAGGGACTCCTGGCTGCTTATTCTGGTTTTGCACACATCCAACATAGGCTCTTGGGTTAATTTAAAATGAGCATACTTTAACCAAACAACCTAAACTATTATCAAACTACAGTTTGGAGTGGGGGGAGATCCGTAATTACCAGTGTCCTATAATAACGACAAAGATGCCTCGGCAGGGAGGCCAGGATAAAAATTTAATAAAATAAATAAATAAAATAAATAAATAAAAGGGAAGTCAGCCAGCTGAAAACTGATGAAACCCCAAGCAGTAAAAGCACCAAAAAGGATCTCTCCAAAGTGAGTGAAAGAGCAAAATGAAAGGCAAGAGCCTAATTAAAAAGTTTATAGACAAGGACAATACAGGAAGTCTTAACTTCATATGCATGCTTTTGTGTCTAAATTGAACATGACTAATCGGGGGGG